TAGATTATTATTATTATTATTAATAATAATAATAATAATAATAATAATAAAATGTTACTTAAAGTATATTGCAATCCACTGATGCACTTTGCCAAAGTACATAGTGGCACCAGTTGATGATATCAATTTGTTGCATCAATTCTCTTATGACGTTACCAAAGTTGCGCCCACATCTTACAACATGGTTTTTAATTATATCAATACATGTTTAATTTTACTCCTATCTGCAGCCACAATGAAACATTGATTTTGATTTTTCTGAACAAGATATTATCAAGGGCTACATATTTGCTTGGAATTTGAAGTTGATAGGTAATTAGAAGGGTAATTATACACAGTACCTATTGTCTTCTCTCTCCTTCTTAAAGTATCATGAACTGAACAGAAAAGCCCTCAATATGTCATAACATATTGCCCTTGACTTCTGAAACCCAGGGGAGCACTATAGCATTTTGTAGAGACCTATTAGAAGCAGTGCCTTATATCTCCATCCAACCCTAACTAATGACCTGGATGTGTAACAGAGAAGGTTGTGTGGTCCTGTCCTAACACCTGCTGGGATGCTGACAAGGGTCTTCCTAGTGCTCTTTCTGCTTCACCTTTGATTAGAATTAATGACAGTTCCCTGAGGTTGTAAGCTCACTCCCCATCCATCTATCAGGCCATGACAAGAAATGCACCAACACCATTTCCTTATCACACCAATGTAAATAAAAAAACAGCTTGCCAGTATGGGTCACCACATTAGGAATAACAGATAGAACAAAAGTTAAAACAAACTTTCTGCCTGAGAAGGATAAGATAAATTTGACATAAAATATTCTTAAAATCGATACAAATGTGCAGTTTTTACAGAGCGACATAACGCTTTAAAAAAATAATAATTCATATGATGTTGTGCAAAATTATTGTTTGTTGCTCACTGCTTTGCTAACCTAGAGAGGTACTTAAATTCTTTGTCACCATAATTCATTGTCTGGCCTTTGAACTTAGGTCAGTTGACTTGGGAGGGTCACTAAGAGGCTTTTCGATAAGCCAACTCCCAATGTAAAAGCGGAAGCATAGGAAGTGCTAATCATAAAGTGCACAGGGAGACATAAGTGTAGAATCTACTGAACATCCTTTAGGTAGCAAAATGGTGTTTTTATTGGAGAATTTGGAGGTGGGGAGACAGAAGGGTGTTTACTTTTTTCATCCTTTGTTACAACCTAATGCTGCAGGATGTTTATAGACTATACATTTCCACATGTGCTACAGTGGTAACAGGCTGCAAGTGTTATTTCACAGGGCATATTTCCTTTTTTTTGTTTGTTTAAGTGGACCTTCCAGGAAACAAGGGTGATGTCACCGCACCTCACCAATGCCTCCTGAGACAGCTGTGTGCTTGAAATCCCACAATAATAACCCCTGCAATGAGCTGAAGTTCATTTTCACAGAATTTTTATTTTTAAATCACCCTTGCAGGTGAATTGACTT